CTGGGTTGAGCGTCTGCCTTTGGCTCAGGTCGTGATCCTGGGGTCCTGGGATGGAGTCCCCACAAGGAGCCTGCTTCTCCCTCTGCCTATGTCTCTGCCTCTCTCTGTGTCTCTCATAAGTAAATAAATAAAATCTTAAAAAAAAAAAGACTTGTGGAATCACTAGGTGGTACACCTAAAACTAGCATTGTATGTCAGTTATACTCCAATAATAAAATATAAAAAATAACTATTGATGCTCACAGAAAAATAAATGAGGAAAATTGTAGAAGGAAGAAGGCAAGATGAGGGGCTAGAGAGGGGGGGTTCTCTGTGAGTTGGGGTGGTCAGAGGACATATCCCCAAAGAGGTGAGAATGGAGTAGGACAAGCCACTTCCCCTTTCCGTTAATGCAGCAAAATTAGAGAACTGTAAACTATATGCACCAGAGCCAGGGCTCAAGAGCTTAAGATCCAGGTCAAAACCTGTAGCCCCTGCCTCTGCAGCAGCAGCCTGAGCAGTACGTGAAGAGACACATACTGGAGCCGGGGGCTCGCTGCTCCCTGGGTGACCAGGAGGGGCTGCTCGCCTGGACACAGGGAACCTTGCTTCTTGGGCCTTCCATTGCGACAGCGACCAGTCAGGCCCACAGATGCCATCCAGGTGTGTGAACCGAGAGGTTTCCCCCACCCCTGCAAATCCCAGCCCAGGGTCTTCGATGGTGCCAAGTGACAGAGAACAGGCAGCTCTTGAAAAGACTAATATTTACTCTTTCCAACAGGAGCTGGCACAGGCTGTTTCCTGCAACTGGCATCTGTCTCGCCCCATGGGATGGACGCCACGGGGGTCACTAGAGGAGATAGGCAGATGTCCCCGTGGACACCAGCACCCAGACAGAGGTCGGGCCTCCGAGACGGGGCCGGAGCATGCTCCAAGGTCCCACCCGACACGTGGCACTCCGTTTGCACACCTTCGCAGGGGCGTGCTCACCCCCCCCCGGAGCCCTGTTGGCCAGCCCTGTGAGAAAGTTCATCCTGCTGTTAGCCCTGTGTTCCTTGCTTCTGGCCCCTGGTCTTACCCCTGGGGCCTCAGAAGATGTGTCTAGAATAACCCCTTGGGGCGATGGTGGTCCTGGTTAACTTCACCCTCCCAGACCCCGTCCCATCCGGCTCCCCCAGGCTCCTGCTGTCTGTCAACTCTGTGGCCAGAACAGGCTGTCTCAGGGGTGGGAGGAAGGAAGGCCTCGCCTTGGGGGCACCTCTGTCCCTCCTGCAGCTGTTCCCTTCTCCCTGAGGATCCCCCGTGACAGTCCTTCAGCTGAGTGCCTCATGTGGGAAAAGAGTCTCCGCCAGGAAACTACTGGTCAGACGGTGAGAATTTGGGAAGGAGGGAGTCCCCGGTGGCCAGAGCTGGCTCACCCATGTACTTTCCTCTCTTGAGATCCCTCCTCTGTGCTTTCTGCCTTTCCCCTTTCCAACGTGTTCCAGAAGTCTTCCCTGACCATGATAGGCCCTGGCCTCGGCCACGGTTCCCCGACCTCGCCCACTGGCAAAGCCTGGAGGCTCAAATGCTCTGGCAGCATTTGGGGCTAGAGCCTCGCAGAGCCAGGTCTTCTCAGCCACAAGCCCAGTGAGGCCTGGGCACAGCCAGGGCAAGACCTCCATGGGCAGTGCAGGCCCCCCGGTCACCCAGGGCTCTCACACCTAACTGCTGACTCTAAGCAAGAATTCTCGCTTTTCTTCAAATTCTTTACTATCTCTAATCCCTAACTCCCATGCTCCAGGCCCCTTGTAGGCAACCGTGCAAATGTATGTAACATGTATCTTTTAAAACAGATTCTTCAGGATCCCTGGGTGGCCCAGCGGTTTAGCATCGCCTTCAGGCCAGGGTGTGATCCTGGAGACTCGGGATCGAGTCCCATGTCGGGCTCCCTGCATGGAGCCTGCTGCTCCCTCTGCCTGGGTCTCTGCGTTTCTCTCTCTCATGAATAAATAAGTAAAATCCTTAAAAAACAAAGAAGAAAGCTTCCATATAAAAAAATAAATAAAACAGATTCTTCAAAATACTTTATCATTTTGTGAGCATGTATTTCTAATCATATAAATGTTATTCTTCTACTGGGCTCAACATTTTGAAGATCCATCCATGCTGCTACATTACATCTAAATCCGGTACTTCTGCCTGCCTGCCGTGTGGTGCTCCATGCTGAGCCTGCACACTATCTGCCCATGGTAGACACAAAGGCTGCTTCCTTTTTAAAAAAATTTATTTAAATTCAATTCATTAACATATAGTGTATTATTAGTTTCAGAGGTAGAGTTCAGTGATTCATCAGTCTTATATAACACGCAGTGCTCATTACATCACGTGCCCTCTTTAATGCCTGTCACCCAGTTACCTCGTTCCCCCCCACCCCAGCAACTCTGTTACCTATGATCAAGAATCTCTAATGGTTTACCCCCTTTCTGATTTCATCTTGTTTTATTTTTCCCTCCCTTCCCCTATGCTCCTCTTTTTTAAAAAGATTTTATTCATTCATTTGAGAGAGAGAGAGAGAGCAGGAGCGTCAGGGAGAGGCAGAGGGAAGGGAAGAAGCAGACACCCCACTGAGTCAGGAGCCCCATGTGGGGCTTGATTCCAGGACCCAGAGGTCATGACCTGAGCTGAAGGCAGACACTTAATTATCTGAGCCACCCAGGTGCCCCTGCTTTGTTTCTTAAATTCCGCATATGAGTGAAATCACACAATTGTCTTTTTCTGATTGACTAATTTCACTTAGCATAATACCCTCTAGTTCCAACCACATCAGGTACAAATGGTAAGATTTCATTTTTCTGATGGCTGAGTAATATTCCCTTGCCTATGTATACCACATCTTCACAAAGACTGCTTTCTACCAACACAAACAATGCTTCTGTAAAATTTAACCTCATACATGTCCCCTTAAGGACCTGTGTGAGCATTTCCCAGAGACATAGAACCAGGAGTGAAGTAACCACAGCATGAGGTGTGTGCACACTACATTTGGGGAGATAGCCATATTAGTTTGTCAGGGCCACCACGTCCCAGTACCACAAACTGGGTGGATTAAACAACAGAAGTTTTTTAAAAAGATTTATTTATTTTGAGAGAGCAGAAGCAGAACAGGCAGAAAGAGAATCTCAAGCAGACTCCACAGAGGAGCCCCACATGGGACTCGATCTCACGACCCTGGGATCATGACCTAAGCTAAAACCAAGAGCCGGATGTTTAACTGAGCCACCCAGGTACCTCTAAATAACAGATTTATTTTCTCACGGTCTGGAGGCTGGAAGGCTGAGATCTCAGTATTGGCAGGGTTGGCTTCTTCTAGGCTTCTTTCCTTGGCTTGCAGATGACCACCTTCTCCCTATCTCCAAATGCAGACATTCTGAGGTATTGGGGTGGGGGTCAGGACTTCAACATATGCATTTGGGGGAGGGCACAGTACATCCCATGATTGTGGGGTTGCCCTTCAGACTGCCCATGCATGAAGTCCTATATCTTCTCACATGCTCCAACACTTGGTGCCATCCAGCTAAGTTTTGCCAAACTAATATGCATAAGGTGATATCTTGCTGTTGTTTTAATATGTATTTCTCTGGGTCTTTTCTAATGAATTTAAACACCTTCTTATGCATATTAGCTTTTTGGGTTTTCTCTCCTGCAAATTGCTCATTCTTTTACTGAGGTCGCTGTCTTTCTTGTTGACTTACAAGAATTGCTGATATAGTAATCCCTCTTGGTTTCAGACATTCTAAAGATCTCCCGTTCGTTTAACTTTGCTCAGGACATCCTTATTTGCACATAGTGAAGTTCATCAATCATTTTGCCTCAGGGTTGCTCCACTAACATTTTTATTTAAGAGCACTTTTCCATCCTAGATCACAAAGATACTTTCTTTCCTGTTCTTCAATTGAACTTTAGAGTTTTTGCCTCGCACATCCAACCCAGTCACATCTGAGAGCTGACTGCAGAACCACCTTGCCAGCTGCACCCAGGGGGGCCCCTTTCCCCTCTGAGCCTCACTCCTCCACTGGCACTACTCAAGGATGTTTGGCAGTTGTCACACAGCACTCCTGCTCCCTGGCCCCATTAGCAGGGAGAGCCCAAGAAAAAGGAAGGCAATTCATCAGCCTGAACTGGCACCCAGCCCTCCTGGCACAGAAAGGGGATCTTTCATGGGCCAAGATCCCCTATTCCTCTTGGCGGTGCTACTGATGCATACAGTACCTTCTTCCCAGCCCAGGGGACAGCGGCTGCACAGTCACTGGCTCCCTGAGACAGGCCTCAGCTTCCCCTCTCGAGCAACAGGGGGGTTGAACCATGTGGTGTCCAAAGGCTCTGTCAACTCCCAAATCCCAGAACCTGAGAACTTAGTTTTTATTTTGGAAGCTTTTGCCCTCTCCCCAAAGTTTTTTGCTCAGGACAGATGGTGGAGAAAAGCTTGGAGCATGCCTTCCCCCTGTGTGTTTAGGATACGGGCAGGAGAGGCCGGTGTGTGTGTTTCCTTTCTGGGAATTGGGACAGCTGCTGTAGAAAGGTCCTCTGCAAAAGGGTGCAGTCCCCTGGGCCGGAGCCTGACCACTGGCTGGTGGCTGCGCCTCCTGCTGGCCATTTTGTGGCAGGGCGCTGTCCTGGGAGATGAAAACTAAATGGGACACAGAGCTCAGAGGCTAGAGCAGGGTAAGTGCTGGCTCACAGGCATATACATCAGCAGGAGCAGAGCTTGCAAGGAAGGCAGGCCTCCCTGCCCCCAGGGCTGCTCTGTGACTGTGTGACTGCTAAGTTGGCTTTCCCAAGGTCTTTCCCGGACCCATGACTGTATTCCAGAGTCTAGGGATTAGTGCTAAGCACTGAGGCGGTGCGCCTGTCTGGACATTGGACAGGAGGACCTGAATTCCACTTCTCTCAACATCCCCCCTCCGTTATGCCATGCCCACATCACGGCCTCTAGCGAAACAGACCTGTCACTCAGAATTTTTGACACGCATACACGCAAGTTAATAAGCACCTTAGATTTATTCTCCTCTCACTTCTGAAGCCACCTTATTTAACGTATATATACATAGTATATAAATGGCTATACAATATTCTTTACATACATTAACACAAGTTTAGGCCTTAGGACTGCGTGAGAGTTTGTTAAAACATACCCGTTGTTTATTCAAAATAGATCTTTCTTATTACATGAAAACAGTAAGAAGCTAGTACAACATGGACAGCAAGCATCCAGAATGAATATGTGAAATAAATGGTTTTGCCCTGGCTACATCAGCCTCAGTCTTTATACTCTTAGTAGAAAAGTCTATTAAATAAAACCGAATTCTGGGGGGTCAAGTCATAGGAATAATCCATTAAATAATACTTCTGAAGTAACCCCAGAATCACATAAGGGTTAAAGAAGCTCATATGTACCAAGCACAGGTTAGAAGAACAATGGATTTGATCATTTTATCCTAAATAAAAGGCGCTTGTGGACAGCAGCTCTGTCGTCGGTACACACGGGCAGATGTTTCCATATCCGGCCATTCCCAGATATTACTGACAAGCCTTTTTCCACAGGTTCCCTGCCAAGACGTCTCCCCAGCAACAGAGGTCTGACATCACTGCTCCCAGATGGGAGGATCAGAGCTCTCCTCATGTGGGTCAGGGAGGGCCCTTGAGGTTTGGTCCAACCAGCAGAACTGGCCTCCCTGGATCCTGAAGGGCCCAACGCCAACAGTACCAAGAGCTCTGTGACTGGAGAGCAAGAGGCAGGTTAAAGGAGGGGAAACAGAGGCCACATGGCCTTTGAAAGTGAAAGAATGAGTCTGTTTACATTGCAGTGTCAAGAAAATGCCCCCTTTTTGTAAAAGCTGGAAGACATGGCTACACTGTGCTGCCTAGAGCATGAATTTCCTTGCATCGGATGAAAGCCTTTCTCTACCTGCACATGAACGAGGGATTCACTCCGAGTCCTCCTCCACCAGGCTTTTATCTTCATGACAGCATGATGGGGAGGCAGCTTATGGCCACCACTTGCCAAGTGAGGACACTAGGGCCCCTGGGCCGGACTGGCCCACAGTGGCACAGGACCCCTAGCTCAGGGTCAAGCCGAACCCCAGGCCTCCTCCATCTCTCCAGGGCACATCTACTCTCTCTTCCTCCACAATTAACAGAGCACACAGCAGAGCTTCTCTGTACCTGGGCAGATTCTGAGTAGGAACATTTGGAATGTGAGCAACACCAGAACAAGGGGCGTGCATCTGATCCCCTGCAAACACTGCCATGCTTGCTGGTCCTCACCTGCGCTGCTGTGTGCGCATACCTGCACGTTACAGTGAGAGGTTGACTCCTTCAAGGAACAGCCCGCAGCGGCCCTGGATGAGGGTGCAGTATGCGGCCCCAACTGCCCCAGCTGCCAAGGGGCAGCCACTTGACGGCCCCCGGCTTTGCCACTCACTTGTGCCCCGCTCGCTGCGCCCCAAACAGCCAGTCCTGCTGGCTATCACCACTGACTCTGAGCGGTGCTGACCACCAAAGTGCCATTCCTCTCTGAGCACAGACTCCTAAGTGTGTGTTGAAGTTCCTGGGGGAACAGAGGAAAGGGGCTGGGCCTCAAGCCATCTGTTCCCACTCTGAAGCTCCTGCACGCACCCCATCAGCTACAAGTAAAGGTGGCCTTCTCATCCCTCCGGAGATTCCAGTTTCAGCCTCTGCCTCCAGGGCTGGAATGTGTGGGACAGACATGGGGAGAGGCAGAGGAGTCCTAGAGAATGGGAAGCACCTAGGAAAAGAACGAGGAGCTCAAGGTGAGGTGACAGAAATGAGATTGAATGTTTTCATCTCTTGATGCCCTTTTTCCCACCCCTTAAAGAACTTTGAAAATGGTGGGCTTTGCTTCACAGTGCCTACAACAGAGTTCGCTAACAGGGGTGCAGGCCTGAGAAGCAAAACCAGGGGCCTTCGGTCACATTCCTTCTGCTGCCAGCAATGGGGCCTCCATACTGAGAAGTGCCACCCCCAACACGCCCCTGATTGTCTCCACCCAGGAAAAAGAAATCAGGAATGACCCTCATCGCAGTAGGACTAGCCCAGGGAAATGAAAACCAGAGTCTGCATGTTTCTTTGACCAGCATGCTTGGGGAAGGGAGAACCCTTCTGGTCTTGGCCCCTTGGTTGGGAAACCCTGGTCAAGAGCACTGAGCCACATTCCCAGCCTGATACAATCGATGGGAATAATGTACTCCAATGTTCAAGATCTTGCAGCATCTGATCGCAGAAGGCACTTGGAAGGTTTGTTTTCAACATTATTTCATCTATTCCCAGATCTATCCCTGTGAGGTCAGCTGGACAAGTAGCATGATATCACTGAGAAAACAAAGTGCTAGAACAGTGAGTCTGTGGGGTAGTGAGGATGACTCCTGCGATGGGAGGCCAGCTTTCTGGCAACAAGGATGATATTACACAGGGAGCCACAAAACTCCAGGCCTGAACAGGTCAACCCCAAGCCTGGGATTTCCCTTGGACAATATCCCCAGAACTTCTTTCCTATCACTTGTCTCTTCCTCCAGTGAGCTGAGGCTTCTTTCAAGCTGGATTCTAGATAAACAATGTGTATGTGGTCACTATTTGGTACTGTTTGTCTAATGCACCTTTTCCCTTTTGTTTGCAAAATTCAATCAATGTAGATGTTTATGGATGAAAACCACATTCAACCAAGTGTAGAAACATCCCACCAGTGCAGGAAGCATCGGCCAGGAGGGACTCCTTTTCAGGTATGGTTCTCTACTGCCTGCTGAATGTGGATCACAGGCTCAGACCCCAAGAACATGAGCATCTGGGGATACAGGGCAACACGGCGATATCAATAACACTCGGGCTCAAAAAAACCCCAAAAAACCACAATTCACTTGTAAGCTGCTCTTATCAACTTTTAAAGTCCTTGGCTAACCATTCTATTTTACCGTCTCTTCAAAATTATGTCCCAGAAAACCTTTAGATTCACCTGTTGGGTGTGCAGAAAATTATGCAGGTGCAGGATAAAAGGAGAGACAACTGTGAACTTGACATCTGAGGATGCTGCCAATATACCTTTCACATCCAGATGTTTCATTTGATTGAAAACAGAAAGTTGTAAGAAAATGAAATGACTGTGGCAACATTTTCCCAACAGTTTCCAGTCACATATACTTGTTTTTCTTAAAGTGACATCAAGGTAGCTCAATAGCAAGGCGCTAACAATAACAATCAAGTACAACTGAATTCCCTAAAATTATATTCTTGCTTTCCCCACATAATAACTCTTGCTATGGTTTTCAACTTTTAAAAGCTATCAAAAAAAAATAAAATAAAATAAAATAAAAGCTATCAAAGCAGATTTTTTAATTTATCAAGACCACATAATTCAACCTGATACCCCATGCAATTGTGGTTGAGCTATTCAAATTCCAACCAAGAAGAATCCAAAGGGCAAACTTGTAATATGGCCTCCTGAATGCTACTGGACAACCCAGGCTGAAATTTCTGGAGACCTAAGAGATCTTACTCAGAGCCACATTTTGGAAAGCTGTGATCAATCAACTATTTTGACAACGGGAGAAGAAAAGCAACTTCGCAGAGCACAGAGATAATTATATCTTTAGGAAACTTTAAAAAAGTTAACACCTACTTAACTCCTGTTCATAAAGAATGAGGCCCTCAATCTAATTAAGATGAATGGGAAAGGTGCAGAAAGCAATTAATTTGGGAGGGCTTTCTAGAACAGGTACACAGGTCAGGCATTGATCATCATTAAAATGACAGGCACTCAGCTGCCATATACAAGGCTGATGACAACAGCTTTTTTTTTTTTTTAATACCACCTGCATCTGTAAAATACCAGTATGTGAATCCATGTGATTCACCTACTCCAGTCTGTGGCCCACTGCAGAGAATCCTGAAATTCTCAGGTTTTTAAGCTCATGCTCATGCTCATAAGCTATGATCCAGTAGCACTGGTTACTCAATTTTTAAGATGTTCAGATATACCCTGCAAATAAATACAAAACATTTCTGTACCCACGCGGCCCCACCACCATAAAAAGTTATATATAAATTAAATAAACTCATTTTTCTTAACCATTTTCTCAGCTTAAGTTTGTCCTTTCCCTAAATGAAGATAAGTTCAATTTATATCCAAAATATATTTAAATATTCTAAAGGTATCATATCAGACCTAAGTTATCAAAAAATGTAAACAAAATTGATCTAGCTTATATTTCTGAACCATATTTTAAAATTTTTAATTCACCCTGTATTGACCCTCTACAAAAAACCAAGTCGCATTTAGACTGAAAAGCTGATATGGGTTTTAAAGTGATTCCTCAGAGACAACTGCCAGTTACTAAAACTAGTGTTAATGAATCTAGTGGTTTATTGCATCATTCGGTTTAAAAGACCAAAACAATTCCGTTTTGATCTTTCCATAATGCTCCTTGTGAGTGAGTCCCCAGGTTCTGCTGTCCTAAGATGTGCTGACCTGGAGATTCTGCAGTAACGCTCAGCACAAAACCAGGACTGGGAAATCAAGCCACCTTGTGCCTTCTACTGCACCTGTTAAAAATCCCCAACTTTCGGTCTCAGCCAGGTTTGGTTGAAGGGAACTTCAAGGGTGGAAACTTGAGGTGAGGTTGAGAAGCCAGAAGGGAAATACAGATGACCCTCCTAAGAAAGCCAAAAGATCCATCAATCACACAGTGTCGCCTTCAAACTCCACAGTCAGCCTGCTTCTCCTGAAGCTGCCTGGTCAGTATCTGATACGAAGACAGAAAAGCCACTCCTATGTGGAAGAGGATTTGCCAGAGGTTCCTCAGCCCATGCAGGTATATGTTGCCCAGGCAGATAAAGAGCAGCAGCAGCACCACCTTCATAGTCCTAGCTGGACTATAGAACAGGTACAAATAACACTGAAACGACATCATGAGAGACAATCCAATCAGAGATGACAAAATGGCCATAGGTCGGATACAAGATTCACGTCTTACACCTGCAAGCACATTAGCTTATTAAACCGAATTCATTACAATGGAGCCTGGACATGCTGGGTAAAGTGCTGTTAATCACTGGATGAAAGTGGAGATTCAGAAGAGAGAAGAAAAGTGAAACAGATGTCACAGGAGGAATGAGAACAAGATACTCTTTAAAACACTTAAGATAGGGGGCTCCTGGGTGGTTCAGTCAGTTAAGCATCTGCCTTTGGCTCAGGTCATGATCACTGGGTCCTAGGGTCAAGCCCTGCATTGGGCTCCCTGCTCAGGGGGGGGGGAGTCTGCTTCTCCCTTCTCTCTGTCCCTCACCCTGCTCATGCATTCTCTCTCTCTCAAATAAATAAAATCTTAAAAAAAAATTAAGAAATACAGACAGAAATGCCCTAGTTGTGGGGTGTGGAGAAAGAAGAGATGCAGCTAAGGGAAAGAGAGCCAGGGCATACACTCCAATAAGACTAATGGGCCTAAAAAAAATTAAAAAAAAAAAAAAGACTTATGGGCCTCTGGCCGGATTCTTCTTTCAGAGGCGTCAGGACAAGCAGGTAAGCCAGTGAAAGGGCCCAGGCTTTTACTATTTGTTTTTCCTGAGTTACAACTACATCAGGAACCAGTGTTCCCTAGACATCCTCCTTATCATGTCTTTAAAAACATCTCTGACACCAGGAAAAGTCTCATAGCTGGGAGAGTGACCAACATTTAGTATAGGGTTATCATAAGAAAAGGGGTCAGTCTTGTTCTGCAAAAGGAAAAAAGTAGCTTTTTGGTTCAGTCTTGAGAAAAAAAACAAGCACGTTCTCAAAACACAGAGCAATTCAACAAAGGTTCAGGCTCCAATGAGTAGGAGAGAGTTCCCCACTGAAAGAGCTATCCAAGTACGAATGCAGTTGAGGGAACAGAGGCCAAGGGGTAAGACCCCCACGGCCCTGAAATACGGGCTCTAGGGCCCCTCAAATGGCAATACCAAAGGTTCTGGAAACTTGTTTTCTCAAAAATGAGTGCATTTTCAGTCCTGGGTTGACAATTTCTTTTTGCGCAATCATATCATTCTTACAAAAAAAAAAAAAAAATAGACCATTCTAGGATGGATATGGAAGAGAGAGGAAGCGCCCTGAAAACAGAAATTTTAATTGAAAGAAGAAAAAAAAAGGCTTAAGAATGTAGAGAAAGCCCTAAAATCCTAGCCTCTGAGGAGGATGAGGAAAGAAAATTACAGTAAAGTTTTTTTTACCAGAATTAACTCTGCCTATAGGGGATTCAAAAGCCCCGTAAGTATGCAGCTTATTTGAAAATAACTAAGTAATAATCAAAGCCCACTAGTTAATGTTGTAATGTTTGTCTCAGTTCCTAAGGACAGATTTGAATCAAATGACATCACTATTAAAAAATATTCTTTTAACCTAGTCCTGTTCTTTTAAAAAAGCACATATAAATAGTTGTTACTTCTGCAGGAGGATGTTTCTATACTTGGACTGCCCTGACAATAGGTAAGACCTTGCCTCACATTAGTCAGGCCCAACTCAATCCCCACAGTAATCACATCCCTCCCTTCTTGGGAGTTGAGTCCAAATTCCTGGATTCTTTTCAGCCATTGTCAAAGGCTCTGTGGCCTAGGGCAAGTGGCTTTCTCTTTCTGAGCCCAATGTTCTTCCTCTGTAAAATGAGATGACTAGGCAGATTGGGCCTAAGGTCCTTCCAATAAGGCTGTGGCATTGTCCATGGCATGCCTTGGTGGAACAAAACCACATCCAGAAACATGTTGAGGGTTCCAACAGAAGAACAAAATAAGGCCATGGGGTTCAACCCACTCACCAAAATATCAATGTTTCACCCACCTGGAAAATACAGGCTAAAAAAGGAATAAGAAAAGCCAAGATATTTCCAATTTCCTCGTGGGCAACCTAAAACAGACAGAGGAAACAAAAAGAAAATGAATATTCAGATGAAAAGAAACACTAGGAGGTGAAGCGCTTTGCACCTCATTCGCTCTGGTATGGTTGATAATACAAAACCCCTGGCTGGGGAGGCCTAACTCCCTGTTTATATACCAGAATGGGGAGTTGGCAGGCAACTGTTTCAACAGCCTGGACACACCACACACCACACACCCTCGTGTCCCCGTGGATCTGAGCTAAGCCCCAAACTGGAATGCCCCTGAACACAACTACCTCTTAAAATCCTACTCATCTGTCAGCACTTCACTTCACCTTCCCTAATTCTGCCCACCTCCTAGATACTGCTACCTTCCTAGTGATGTCACCACACTCTACTTTACCCTCCTGTGGGCCAGACATCTGTTCTAGTACATACAGACACTTGGTAAGTATCTGGGTGTGAATAATCATAAAAAATAAGAGTGGGAACCACAGCACACATTGGCTAAAGACAGGATGTGGTAACACACTCCACACAGGTCAGTCTACACAAGTCTCCTGAGACTCAACAGCAGTTGTGTTTCAGACCTTAGCAATCACAGTTGTAGGTGTGAGCCTTATGGCTCTATTTTTAAAAGCACCATCTATCTGTTTATGCCCACAATGATTCTATACTTAAGAGTTTTTAAGTACTTGAAAATTTTTAAAAATATATTTTAAAACCACTGAAACAGAAAGCTGCTTTGATTGGAGCAGGCTGGCAAATCAACTTCCTCGTGCTAGAGTCCCCTGACAAAGACATAGGGAAAGTGCCATCTGCGTGATATAAATCAGAGTAGGGGGCAACTTTTCCTAAGGGAGAAACAGCCTGAACTTCAAGGTCTGAGAACCTAATTTGCTCTTGAGCAATTAGGCCCCTGGCGTGATTCCTGGGGCCCCACGGGTGTCCTTGTCGCATGTTATTTCACTATTTCTCACCCACTCCTCCGGCAGGCCCCTTTGGCTTCTAGGACAACAGATACAAAGGAGCAAGTTTCATATCTGTTCAACCTACTATAAAGAATAAACTGTAACATAAAAATCGAATTTTAATGAAAAATTTTTGAAATCTTTGTGCATAATAATCTTATAAAGTGTATCTCTACCAGTTTCTTCCATCATAGGTCCTTCAATTTAAACTATAATAAAAAAGATTACCTGTAAAGAATGTTCTGCGAGGTGAATCCCACGAATGAGATTCAGAGCAGCACACATGATGTTGAGAATAAGCGAGAGGACGCCTAGGGCTGTCACCGGTTCCATTCGAAAATTAGGAGCTTCACAATTAAAAAAAAATAAGTGTCTAGTGAAAATAATTTCTATATGAAAGAAAAATCAACAGAGACATGAACTAGACCTCCATTAATAAAAGGCTCAGTATGATAAACACAGAATTACAAACATATTAATTAAAAGCAGCTGCTGTTAGCAAAAAAGGCAAGAAATGAAGGACAGAATGGATCTGGGAATCCTAAGTGAGTTCTTTCGGAAAGAGGTCCTTCTCTGAGTAAGCACAGGTTTTCAAGGCCTGATCTTCTTTCTATTTAAAGCAGTGGTTCTCAGCCATGAATGATTAGCCCCTCAGTGGACATCTGGCAATGCCTAGAGACATTTTGGGTTGTCAACAATGGTGAACAGGGTATTACTGCATCTACTGGGTAGAGGTCATGAAGGCTTCTACACATCCTAAAATGCACAAGACAGTCCCTCAGAAATGAAGGATTATCCAGTACAAAACGTCAATATGGCTTAGGTTGAGAAATTCTGATTTAAAGCAATTTATGGCTTTATTTGTAAATTGGTTGTCAAACTCTGACAGCATTTCTATCATACACTTCAACTCTCAGCTTCTAAACTAGGACAGTATTCAGTGTCTCCTGTGCTTCTGGAGCAATCTACAGCAAACACAGTTTCTTAAATTCTAAAATAATTGGGAAGAGGAGGGAACCACTGATTATTTGAGCTATAAGCTGTCTCCTGAAGTCTAGAACAAATAAATGATCATTCTCTCTTCAAAGATACCTGCTGAGACTGATTCTGGGTCACACAATTAAATGTGATTCCCACCCCCCACCCCCATTCTCTTACTATGATCTTTTACAATCATCCCTTCTGGTCCTTACATTTCCTACATACACATACACACATGCACACACATATAAATATCTAGCCACAACCCAACTGATGCCTATTGTTAGTGTGTTAGACTTTCCACTGAGCTATCAAAGTTCCTGTTAGAACAGAACATGCTACCTGTAAAGATTCTAGCCTCAGGACAATAGGGTGAGTCAAATCACAGTAAAATGTCCTAGAAAAATAAGCAAGTTGACATTTTCTGGATTTTGCTTCTCTTGTCTAAGTGGTTAAAAAACAAAATACATATTATAAAGTTACCCCATCTTTACATAAGGCAAAAGAAGCGGCTTGGCACTCAACTACCCATTCTTCTTTCTATGAAAGTTAAGTCGATCGATCCCCAATATAAACTACAACTTATTGATTGGCATGAGAGCCAATCCAGGAATGTATTGGTTGAAATAGATTAAATCAAAACACAAAGTTAAGTAAAAAATGTGAACATTTTAATACACCACTTCTAAAGATCAAGCAATGAGTTTAGTATAAAAACTGTTAAAATAATGAGACTGTTATAGTATAGATAACTATTTCAAAGAAGGATTCAGTTCTTACACCATTACAGAATGTTTAAAATATAAATACCACTTTCATGGAAAATTGGTTTGTGTGTAATTGTAACAAGGAATGCAAAAAAATCATGCTTTGTTATTAGTGGCTAATGATGTTAATGCCAGACTAAGTCACAGAACGCCAGGGCACTCAGCTCAGAAATCCACAGGGATAGAGGGACATCCCCACAGCTCATGGAGAACCAGAGTGACAGCACTAGAACTCTAGCTCTGACCCTGTCCACTCTCATCCCCAAGGCCCTTCCCTCCGTCAGGGAGGGCAGGGGTTTGTTTCTCATTGGAGATTTGCAGTATTTCACTAAGTGATAAGATAAGGACTCACTGTTAAAGGGAAAAATAGAAAGTGGGGGAGGGAGAGAGAGGGAAAGGGAGAGAAACAGAGCATGTACAAATCTGTACTTACAGTTTAGTAAGTGACTTCCAGCAAAACAGAATGCATCTGTTTTATATTTAAACTTAGGAGACTTCATCCTGATTAAGCAATCTGCCAAGTCACTCTTCTGAATTTCATTATAAGAGTTGCCCCTTCCCCTGATCAACTCACTATCATAACAGTAAAGTGTTTTTTGACAGTCACCTGGAAACAGGATCAGTCCATATTTTTCCCCACATATTTTATAAACATCCACCCTCAAAAAACACCTCCTTGATTAAAAAAAAAAAAAACAATGTCCATTTGAAATACTTAAAGTCACCTCATTTTCATTGACACAAGAGCACAGCAAACCACTTACCAGGCTCCAAGTGTATCTGTGTGTGACCATTCATTATCCCATTTGCCACATCTGTGTCCTCCAGAGTGAGAACTACTGGAGGCTGGAACTCCAGCTCCTCCTGAATTTTTTCTAAGCTGCTGTCCATCTGAATGGAACTTATATGGTTAAAATGCCACTTCACTTTCTGAATGACACTGTCTGTAAAAAGAGAGCAACCCAAGCTAAACATTTGCTTCGGAATGGGTATTATAGAACAGTATGTGCAAAATGAAGTTTACATTTCTAAGAAAGCTGGTAAGTCAGCCAGATTCTGAGAGTGTTGAGGTATACCTAAAGGTCAAATGATTACTATATGACGTTACTGGTCTCATCAATCTCTTCAGTGCATGATACTTAAAAGGTGAGTGTCTACAGAGAAAGCAGTAATGCTTTCCAGAACCTCAGTGATGAGGGAGTCGAGGGATAGGGGCTTGAGTCTTAGCCGCTACTGATAGTACAATCCTGGGCAATTCACAGAATGTTCCAAAGCTTAGAAAGGGGAGACAGTTATTCTTGAGCTAATTACCTCTAAAAAAGGCATGTGACAAAAAAATTATAAATAAATATGAATATATTGTGCAAACTAAGATGATATATTTGAAAGGTATTGGTTTTAGCTATTTTATTTTTCTTAGTATTAAGCCAGTACCAAGTTTTAATAAGTATTTGAAGTACAGCTTCATACATATTGGCAAAGCAAAACAATGCCTAATGCACACATAACAACAGCTACTATTATTATATTTGCCTCTCACTCAGCAGTGAGGAAACATGATGTTGGGGAAGGGTCTGCTGTCAAATCAAGCACACCACTTTAGAAGGTACATGCAGAGCCAGGGAAGGGGGGAGGGAAGAACAGTCAGCAGCTGCTATCAACTGGTAGTCAAGGGATGCCTCAGCTGTGGTGTTTGGGGCTAGCATGCCCTCTTTGGAGGAGGAAGTGGGGCTGAGAGCAGTGGTGAACTAGGCCTCACAGGGAGACTTGGGGAGAACGTTTGCTCTGTGTTACAGGTCTAGGCAGAGGCCTGTGTGCCAGGGATTTTCCCAGCACCTTTGGGTGACCAAGAAATGCATCAGCCAGTGGACCACATGAGGAAGTATGAGGGCTTTGGCAATCAGGCCAGAAAGCGCATGGGGCAACACTTCTTGGCACCTACCGAGTGCTGAGACAGCAGCTGTTTACACAGAGACCACAGAATGCCCCCCACCTCCCACCTCAACTCTTGTTCTCCCAAGAGCTCAGAATGACTTGACTCGCCTGAGAAAAACAGAGCATGCACTATTAATTATCAGGCTGTGTTCTAAAGCCTCTGAGCCTCTACAAGGCCTCTCTGGCAAGGTCTAGGAAAAAAACCTATCCTTTTCCAAAGCAGTATGCCTCAGACCTCTGAGTGAAAGGCCAGTTTTTCTTATTTCCAAATGGTTGTAAAAATATTGGTTGTAGATATTTTGATAAAATGCAATAAAAAAACTGCAGGAATACCAAATTACTGTACGAATGAATAAACACATTATTCTCATTTTTCTGTACCTACCTCATGACAGAAGAACAAGTTCACATACCACCTTTTGAGTAATACTTCTCTAGAGCAGGGGTTGGCAAATCTTCTTAAACAGCCAGGTAAATATCTTTGGCTTCTAGACCCCATATGGTCTTTGTCACAGCTACTCAACTCTGCGGAAGGGCAAAGCAGCCACAGGCGATCCATAAAAGAATGAGCGTAGGCTGCATTCCAATTTATTTACAAAAACAGGCAGCTGGCCCTTGGACCACAGGTTTGCTGACCCCTGCTTCAGAGGACTATGGTGAATAACCAAGACAGGTTTCACCATTCCCCAATGCTGCCTCACAGTCTATGAGGAGATGGAAAGCCAGTGCTAAACTATGAAGCTTTCTGGGCCACTTCAATCACTATGAAATGTCAGGGTACCAGGTTGATCTCCAGTGACATGTTATAGCACCTCCAGGATTTGCCCTGATTGTCAAAGCCAAATCTAAACCATCAATCCTACACATACAATGCCATAAGAGAGAATGATATGTAAGAAAGAGGATTACAAACCAAACTCGAGAAAGGCATATGGCCTGGAGGCTAGGCCAATACAGGTGGTATCATAGGAAGCTGTGAATTCCCACCACACAGTCTCCAGGAAACAGAAGGCCATGGCTGCTGGACACTGGCGGGAGCAGATAGCCATGCAAGCCACATCCCGCAACGAAGAAAAACTGAAACAAAAGGGCAACATCTCCATTACCGGGGAGCAGACCCCTGTACTCCCACCCCATACTCGGACACAGCATGCTTGCGCCGGCACCTGCCTGGCCTTGAACAGCCCTGTAGCCATTTGCTGCATGTATAGTGTCTCTTCAGCGGGCCTACCTGGCACTGTGCCTTTTGTGTGCTTTCTCTAAAACAGCAGTTATTTGCCACTGCTAGTGCGTGATCACTCTTTTTGATTCCCGCATGAGAAATGCACGTTCCACTAAGAAGGGATAGCCCCAGACTTCACTGAATCTATAGAGCAAAATATTTTTCTTCTTTAATCGACATCAATAGCTTTCTAATGTTAAATTATCCTGGAGTCTTGAAATAAAGCCTTCTGGGTGGTAAGTTTGTACATATTCACATACACACAACTGCTGGATTTAGTTTGCTAATGTTTGATTTAGGACTTTTCTGTTTCTGCAAAGTAAGATTGGCCTATAATTTTCCTTTCTTTTACTGTCTCCATCTGGTTGTGGTATTGGGGTTATTCTGGTCTCATAAAACTGATGCAGTTTTTTTCCTTTATTGACTGCTTTTCAGACTGTCATTGTGCTATCATTTCAAGTTCTGGGGACTCGAGTTCTTCTCTCTGTGGTGTCTATGGACTCCCACTCATTGTAGAATATCTCCTTTGGTGTTCTGTAATTTTTGGTGAGAGGGCACCAGTGTGGACCTTTTCTTTTCCTGTAAGAATCTCTCAAGCACTGAGTTGTGGCACACTCCTTCCACAGTGGTTTTCCATTCGCTTTGGCCAGCTACTCCAGGAGTAACATCAGTCTGGAACCAATACTGATAAATGAACCTTGGTTTAGGAATTCCTAGACCATGGGGAATATAAATTTAAACTCCAATCCTACATAAGGCACAGAAGTAGGGTTTGGTTTCTTACATAAGACTTTATTTTTCCTTCCCATTCAAAGCCAAGTAGAGATGAGTAACTCCTGTACTGGTGAGCAGCTATTTCTCACCTATCACCCTTCTACCAGGGCTGTCGTCTGACAACAATCCCTTCTTCATGCATGGGTCTTGTCCCAACACCTCACCCTACACAAGCTCAAAGACCTCTCCCTTTACGGGTGCTGAAACTCAAGCCCTGAGCTTACCATCATTGATTACCCAGGAGCCTCAGTGTCAGCTCGCACGCTTAGCACCCTGATTTCCTGTTCCCCTCGTTTCTGACACCTTGGGAATTCATTTCAAGCTCAGCTACACATTTAAAACACTTTTTCAGGGCTGCCTGGGTGGCTCAGTGGTTGAGCATCTGCCTTTGGCTCAGGGCATGATCCCGGGGTCCTGGGATCGAGTCCTGCATCTATGCCTCTGCCTATGTCTCTGCCTCTCTCTCCCTCTCTGTGTCTGCCATGAATAAATAAATAAAATCTTTAAAAAACAAAATATAATAAAACAAGTTTTCATGTACATTTACCTACATTTCGGGCTGTTTCTGGCAAAGAGTTTTTAGGTTATATTGTTCTATCATCCTTTTATAACTGGAAGTCTCTATATAAAAACTCTGTCAATTGAAAAAAAAAAAGGATAACCTCCTCATATGAGGAACTTTCCAGGAGGGCTTAAGTCTTTTTAGGATGAGGGCATTTCTTTTTCAAAGAGGAGCCCTATTTGAGGGCTGATGTGCATCTCCCAGAAAGGTATGTTGAAGTCCTAACTCCCAGTACCTGTGAAAATGACCTTATTTAAAAATAGTCTTTACAGATACAATGATAAAATAAGGTTATAATAGATGTGGGTAGCCTCCATCCAACGACTGGTGTGAAATTTCATTACAGAGATACAGGGTAGAAGGCCATGTAAACAAGAAGACAGTGAGTGATTGGATAACTCTTGTGAATGACTAGGACTGCCAGCAGCCACTAGGAGGTAGTGGAGAGGCACGAGAAAGGTCCTCTTTAGAGCCTTCAAGAGAGTGCAGCCCTGCCTGATTTCAGACTTCTGGCCTCCAGAACTGTGAGAGAATAAATTTCTGTTGTTTTATTTTTATTTTTTTAAGATGTATTTATTCATGAGAGAGAGAGAGAGAGACAGAGACAGAGACAGAGATACAAGCAGGCTCCATGCAGGGAGCCTGATGTAGGACTCGATCCCAGGACTCCAGGATCACACCCTGGGCAGAAGGCAGGTGCTAAACCACTGAGGCACCCAGGGATCCCCGATTTCTGTTGTTTTAATTTGTTAATGGTAAACGGGGGGAAATATTTGTGAATATTTCATCTAAAATATGAATGAACAGAGTATTTTACATTCCAGTTTTCATTGGCTATGATACTGCCACTGCACAAAGCTACATTCCAGTTTTCAAAAAACTATTGAAGCACCCAGAATTTCATTTGAAGTCACAGCCTTTTTTTTTTTTTAATCAGAGGAAAGGTTTCCAATTTGCAGCTCAGCACCAAGTTCCCAAAGGATGTTAGATAATCAGAGCATAATGAGGAAGGGACATCGAGGAAGGTGGTTTCAGGCACCCAGAGAAAGGAGCCACTAATGGAGGCAGACACAGCTGTGTTTGGTCCTGAGCACCCAGAGCCCGCAGCACAGGGTGACAGCTGCATGTACTTACCATCTGGCACCCCCTTAGGCCCATCCCTTCTCACCTGACCACACCACCAAGCCTGGACTTCTCCTTTCGTTTTTCTGATTCTCAGGCTGAAATCCCCTTAAAGGACCCCACCTTATCAGGTCAACTAAAAATGTACATTCAAGGGGACTGGGTCAGTGAGGGCCTAAATAATGGAAAACAAGGATGTAAAATCTATGACAAGCCATTTTGATATTTCAAAACCTGCCTAACCCCTGATACCGTCTATAGAATGGCTTCTTGCTCTAAGTCCTAGAATAAGAAACAGTATAACACATGAAGAGCAACCATCAGGGCCCAGCTGCCTGCCCTACCACTTAATAACAGGACAACCTCAGCTAAATCCCTGAACCTCACTTTCCTCCTCTGTAAAATGGGTAGAATACTCTTACCCACCTCACAAGCCAATAAAGAGCTTAGCATATGTCTGCCATATAGAAAACACTCAACAACACTAGCCACTATTACTAGGATTATTGGAACCACTTGATTCCTATTTCCACTGGAGCATTTTCCCCACTGTATTATATTTAGTTAGATATTGCTCTTGCTCCCTCATGAGTTCCTTCAAAAAAGGGACCTATTGTGCTCATTATTCATTCCCCTGCTCCTGTTATATAAGAAAAGTTTTAGGGGATCCCTGGGTGGCGCAGCGGTTTGGCGCCTGCCTTTGGCCCAGGGCGCGATCCTGGAGACCCGGGATCGAATCCCACATCGGGCTCCCTGCATGGAGCCTGCTTCTCCCTCTGCCTGTGTCTCTGCCTCTCTCTCTCTCTGTGACTATCATAAATAAATAAGAATTTAAAAAAAAAGAAAAGTTTTAAAATCTAAAATTTTTTATAAAGTGAAAAATTTATAAAAGAGAAACTATAGGCAAGAACCATAGTCTTTTATTTTCTTGGCTTTCCCACTCTTTTTCCTTCCCTGATTTTTAATCTAGACTCTACCCTGCTCCATCTAAGATAGAGATATTGATAGAATAAACTATCAAACTAAACACATGAAAACTGACTGAGGGACACCTGGGTGGCTCAGTGGTTTGGCTCAGGGCATGATCCCGGGGTCCTGGGATCGAGTTCTGCATCGGGCTCCCCACAGGGAGCCTGCTTCTCCCTCTACCTATGTCTCTGCCTCTCTGTCTCTCATGAATAAATAAATAAATAAAATCTTAAAAAAAAAAACTGATTGAACCCAGGGCTCCTGATGCTAATGAGCACTCCACTAACAGAAGGGCAGGAGTGGGAGCAGCATGCTCCATGCAGGGGTGGAACAATCATGCTCCCTTGATTCTGTGGCCATAAATACATACCACCTCAGACCACTGTCTGACAGTAGACCCACTCAGCATGCTGTGTGATCAGCCTCATGTTACCCTGACATAATGGTTAAAAGCAAACCAAAGTTTACAAAAGTGAACATGCTTGCTTACTGTATATTGAAGTCACATCCTTCTGCAGAACCTCGACCTGGGTACTGGGCCAGTCGCAAGGCTAAAGTCTTGAGCCGTCTCCTGCATTCCAGAAAATCCTGGGTGTGGTAAAAGTCAGTGGAAGCTGAGAGGGGCAGTCCATCCCTCACCCTCACCACACAGGCAAAAAGGATCATAGACATGGTCTGCAGGGGAAGTCATGAGGACACCTGGGGAAAGCAAGGTCATCTTGTTACTGAGGGCAGATGATGGTGACAGAGGCATCCCTGCCCTTGAAATGTCACTCTGTTTGTTTCACCCTCACTCGCACTGGAACTGCAAATGTTGCCTGTAGAATCACTTTCCTGGCCTCTGCTGCTATGTTAGTTGCTCCCTCTCGTTCTCCCTTCATTTTCCTTCCTGTCTCTTCTTCACCTGTATTCCCCTTTCCCTTCTCTAACAAGTCCCTCTCTTTCCAGAATTAAATCAACTAGAATGAGGGAGAATGGGATAGAGAAGCAAGGAAGCAGCACCATAAAGGCTCAGGAGCAACAGCAAAGACATTGGGCAGCCAGGACACAGGTAGCAACATGGCCCTAAAGGGAAAGGAAGCACCTGACACTGAAGCAGCAGGGATGCACAGTGACCTGTACACTTCAGGTCACCCTGGGGAGGTACGGTTTGAGCAGTTTAGCTGTCTAATCCTCACCTGCAGTGGAAGGATTCTGAGCATCCAACCTGAAGCTGTTGGCACAGAGAACAGAAGGCAAAAATGGAGCTGAGAGAGTGTAGTAGGTCTTCTAGAATTTCTGCAAATGTTTGATACCAAGCCAGTCTTCAAAATGATGACTGAGTCCCTGCAGATGGCTAAAGGAAGTCATTTAGCAAATTCTATTACATAAAGATACTAAATATTTGGCCATGACATGTGGGCACTGTTAAGGAGCAAAAAGAAACAGATTCTGAGCCTTCATGGTGCCCTTGGCAAATCGGAACAAGGTGCTTCTCTCGGTAGAAACAGCCTGGACCAGTTCTGCTGGCAGAGCCTGGCTGGGTTTGAGCCCCATCTGTTAACTCTGCAGGTGCTGGCACAGGGCGTACCCTACATGTGAAGGCTGTGGCAGCCCCACAACCAGGAATTAGTGAGGTGGTCACTGCAGCTTTAATGGGTCTCTCTGTGCACCGCATCCTGTTTCACAGATTGGGTTTTTGAGGTCCTCTACCTGATAGGATGTTAATAGGTGCATCCACTGGTGGACTTTTCGTTCCAAGAACTCCAAAGATGTAACCTCATTTGACCTCTCATTTCCTACAAATAGGAAGAAAGGGGAACCCCTATGATGCACACTTCTCTTCACCTCTGTGCCTCTATGTATTCTTTGCCTGTGTCTGCTACTCCTCTGACCATCCCATATCCAAATGCACATTAAGGACTGTCTCCAGTCCCTCCTTTCCATGAAACCTTCCCAGGTGTGTCCAGCCGGAAGTACTTCTACCTCCTCTAAATTCTCAGAGAGCCTCTTTGTTCTCTATTTTACTAATTTATCATTTCCATTACCTAAATATAAGTTCTAAGAATAAAGACCATATCTGGAATGGATAAATGAATAACTATTCCCATTTTATCCACGAAGAAATTGGTGTGGTAAAAAAAAAAAAAGGAGAAGGCAAGAAGAAAACTTGAGTCTACTAGCTAACAGGTCCTATAAAGCCCATTTGTCCCATCTCCTCACACTTCCACTGGGCAGTAAAAATGTGAAAAGTCCCAGGAAAAATATCTCCACAGACAAAATTGCTAAGTTCCTAGCACCGCTGGCAGAGCCTGGCCAACTGCCAGAAGGCCCTGTGGGCTGTACACCAGCTACTTGGCCAATGCTGAGACCTCCAGCACCAAAGAGGTCACGGGGGCTGGAGTGTATGGAAGCTAATCTCATTACCTTCGTATACTGTCATGAATGTTTAAAATATTTAATTTAGAAAGCATTTTTTAAAAATTTACGGGCACAAAGCCCTGATAGAGACAGGGGAAGACTATAAGATCAATTTGAGACTAGGACTTAGGGGTGAAACAAGATCCACAACTTGCTTGCTCTCCTGAGAACAGTGTTATTTCAGTGAATGAAAGTTATAGACATTCTGCAATGCATGTAGAGAAGTGTTTAAGAATACCTGTAATGAAGAAGTTTCTGAGAACACTACTTGTTAAGAACAAGAACAACTTCAATATGAATGTCAGGCCAAGATGAAAAGACATTCATCACTCTCTACCCCCCACCCCCACCTTAAAAAGGAGAGTGAGACACACACCAATGAATCAATGGGATATGAAGAGAGTCAGAGGCAGGACAGAAGCACCTCAAGGCAAAATAAGAAACTTTCTAGGAGGCTGAGTAAATTCTATGCTCTTCAAGGGAAAGTAGGCGCGTATGCCAATTGTCAATCCCCAAATAACCCTCTCTAGTGCTATTTTTTATAGAATATCTACTATGTGCCAGGTTATTGTGTTAAACCAGTAAAAAGGAAAACTGTGACCTTTCCAAGTGACAGTAATCTAAGAACCAGTTCTACCACTCTCTAAAGACCCAAACATCCCCTCCAGGCTCTCTACTTCACCCACTTGATCCTCTTGGTGATGAAACCTGCCTCTCCCCAAACAATAGCATTCAAGATAAATAAAACTGTCAGTTCTATCAAGTTACTAGTACTGCAAATTAGTAAAACCCAAACCCATTTAAGATATTTTAAAATTTTTATGATGCCGTGATATTAAATGTTACTTGTATTTGTGTACATGTATGAGTGTGTTAATGTACAGGATGGTAGCTGTCTGAAGGGTGGGGGGATTTTATACACTGCTGTGGAAGAGCCTAAGAACAGAGACACCAGCTTCTTTTTCTTTGTGACATATACTTTATATTCCAAAACATGAAAAATCTTAATGCAAAGAGAGTCTCATCTTTGTATCTTCACAGTGCCTGGTAAGGATCTGTAGGAATCTGACATTTGCAAATTCAGGTTATGAGCTATGATGAGATGGTCTATACTTGGATAAGAGATCTGACTGCTGCTCAAAAAAGAATGAACTGAGGACTTCTGAAATGGTGGAGTTTAAGTACTTTTTCCTACTCTCACTAATAGTCCTAAAAACTATAGACATCATATATAAAATAAACATAAACACTTGAAAGGTGGAGAGAAGAAGGCAGACTGGCTAGGGACTTTGGGACCTGAGGAATGACACAGCTGTGAGCTTGCTCAGTTTTCTTTTTGCCTCATATATCCTGGTCTTGGTGCTGGAGAAGCTGGCAATCAAAAATGCCAATGAATGTAGACCAAAAAAAAGAAAAGCCCCAACAATGAAAAAAAATAAAGCCTTCTCTCTCTAGCCAAAGAACCAGGAAGGATGCGTGCAGCCTAGCAAAACAGAAAAGTTTCAGACAAAAACATTTTACTCCAGCCAAACACCACAGAAAAACCTGCAGCCATCATACATCCACAACAAAGGCTGAATTAAGAGCCCAGACTTCTACTCTTGCCTGGCATTAATGGCGTGTCCCCTCCTCCTCAATTCCCCATGCTGCTGGGGTGTCAGAGAAGACCAGGTAGGGAGCTACTGGGAGCAAAGAGCCAACCTCTCCCCTTGTATCATTAAGGAGACAGAATTCCTACCTATGGCCAGCAATAATAAGCAGCCCCTCTCCTTCAGGAAGCCCAAAGAGGCCCAGTTGGGAAACCTGAACTTTACTCCCACCTGGCAGTAATGAGATAGCAACTCCCACTTCCCCTACTAACACAATGTCAACAAAGCCCCCCCCCCAAAAAAAAGATCTAAATGAGATCCAGTCTCATAACAAAATGTCCAGGTTTCAATCAAAATTCACCAGTCATACAAAGAACCAGGAAAATCTCAGCTTGAATATAAAGAGACCATCAACTGATGCTAACACCAAGATGATAGACTTTGAAGTAACCATCATAAAAATGCTTCAGTGAGCAGTTATAAACATGCCTGAAACAAATGAAAAATTAAAAGTCTCAGCAAAGAAATACAAGACATAAAGAACCAATTGGAAGCTTTAGACTTTCAAAAAGACAATAACTGAAGTAAAAAATTCAATAGATGAGTGCAACAGCCAAATGGCGGGAACAGAAGAATGAATCAAATCAGTAAGCACGAAGAGAGAACATAAAAATTACTTAATTTGAACAATCTGAGAAAATTAAATTGAAAAATATACAGAGCCTCAGGAATGTAGGACAGTAATAAATTATCTAACATACATGTCACTGAAGCAGAGGAGAAAGAGGTAAAGACTGAAAAAGTATTCAAAGAAATGTCTGAAAACTTCCCATATTTGGCAAGGACAGGCCAACAGATTCAAAAAGCAGAATAAATCCCAAAAAGGAGGGACGCCTGGGTGGCTTAGTGGATCTGCCTTTGGCTCAGGTCGTGATCCCGAGGTCCAGGATCAGGTCCTATGTCGGGCTCCCTTCAGGCAGCCTGCTTCTCCTTCTGCCTGTGTCTCTGCCTCTCCCTGTGTGTCTCTGGTGGATAAATAAATAAAATCTTAAAAAAAAAATTCCAGGGGATCCCTGGGTGGTGCAGCGGTTTGGCGCCTGCCTTTGGCCCAGGGCGCGATCCTGGAGACCCGGGATCGAGTCCCGCGTCGGGCTCCCGGTGCATAGAGCCTGCTTCTCCCTCTGCCTGTGTCTCTGCCTCTCTCTCTCTCTCTGTGACTATCATGAATAAATAAAAAAATTAAAAAACAAAAAATTCCAAAAAGGATAAATCCAAGTAAATCCATACCAACAAACACAATAGCCAAACTTAATAAAACTAATAATAATATAGGTAGGTTGAAAGTAAATGAACGGAAAAAAAGTACTCAGGGATCCCAAGGTAGCTCAGCAGTTTGGTGCCTGCCTTCGGCCCAAGGCGTGATCCTGGAGACCCAGGATCGATCCCACATCGGGCTCCCTGCATGCAGCCTGCTTCTCCCTCTGCCTGTGTCTCTGCCTATCGCTGTCCCCCTGCGTCTCTCATAAATAAATAAATAAATAATAAATAAATAAATAAACAAACAAACAGTAAATAAAAAACAAGAAGTAGTGGTATAAATCTGGAAAATCATGCCACAATTATAGAAAAAAATTATCAATTATACAAGGGTAAAAGCACCCTCAGAGTATTCACACAGAGACACTAGTATGTCTTCCCTGCTCCTTCTACAGGCCAGTGGGACCTCATAACCTGACACCATGCCTGGCACACATGAGGAAGCCCTCAGTAAAAACTGCTAAGTAAATGAATGAATGACCTAAGAGCTGCCTTATTTTTGCCCACTGAGCCAAGAAATGAGGGTTTGCAGATCTTGCTATATTCCGAATATTTTTCCACAATAAATTTCTACTTGCAGAGAAAAAAAATTAATAGAAGTAGAATTTTTTTAAAAGGAGAAACTGAATTAGTAATCAAACATACAGCACCTGAGTTACTACCAGGCTTTATAAAAATGGTATCTTAATCTGCCTCTTCCATTTCCTAAATCCTCTGCTCAGCATCTATTTATAAACTGCTCATGTCATAGATTATCCCTATTCTATCAGCAAAGACTTTGGGCCTAACTGGAGGCCACCCTTTTTCCCAATGTTGTTGTTGTCGTTGTTGTTGTTTTTCCCTCGGTCTTACACTTAGCCCTCTCCCAAATCCCTACCACATATATGCCTCCCCCTCCTCTCTCCAAAAGAGAGAGAAAGAAAGCATGAGAGAAAAACAGCATTAAGTGACCAGGGCCTTGCAAAATAGTAGCATAAACAAGCAAAACAAGTTTAATTTGGCACACAAATATTCAAATATGTGCTCACCATAAGGCATATTACCCATTCCTCAAATACACAATATAGAAAACAAAATTGAGTTATGTCCTCCTTATTGAATTCATCTTCAGCCACAAGACTTGAGAACTGGTTACCCAAATTGTAGATCGCTCAGGCTCCTTTGTTCCATGTTGCTTGGGGATAGTGGGTGGAGGTGCGTGGGTAGAGGCCAAACTCTTTCATAGGAGCTAAGAAGAGCAGAGGCCTGAACTTGATAGCAACTCATATGCAAGACACTGTGCTAGAACTTTTAAACTGATAATGTTACTTACTCCTTATAACTATCTATGAAGTAGGCATAATCTATACTGGACAGGTGGGGAAACTATAGCTCCCAAGGCATAAGTGATATAGAGCCAGGATTCAAACCCAAAGTTCCTTACTCAAAATATTCAAAAACCTATGTAACCTTTTCATTACACTCTCCCTCTCTAAACCCAATCTGTGGGATTACAGCTATTTTATTTTCTCTTTGTCCTAGAGCACCACTACTCAACTAATCAGAGACCTGTTAATAGAACAGAAGCCTAGGGTTCTTAAAAAGGAACACTTTTTTACAACTGTTCATACTCCTCGTGGTACTTTTAGTAAGTAAGTCAGTTTTCCTCTCCGACCATCAATCACCTTTCCAATGCAGCTGGTTTCTGAGTCTCCTTCTAAGAATAAAACTTTTCCATTGCAAGATGTCTTCTGTGTTGTGAACACAAACACTCAGAGCTATAAGAACCATTGTCTAAAATGTATTTTCCAGAGCAAACACCGTTATATCGATTTAATTCTATATATCAGTATTAAACCACTTTCAATTATTTGCATTTTAATTTCACTAAAATTGCCTTTCTCGAGATGAATTCCTTTGTAAAACTTAACCAGGATTTACCTTATTCATCAGTCTGAGCTTTATTTTTTTGTTCTGACCATGTGACAGATTTCACCAATTACTTTTCGCCAACTGGGAATATTCTTTTGTGGCTCTGATTTCCAAAAAAACAAAACAGGAAAACGAAAAAACTAATTTTCCCCGGAGTGCTTCATCCTTCTGGCTCTGGAGGTCCAGAGGTAAGCCTGTAGTAGGCACAAATGTACATCTCACCCCCTATGCCTGAGGTTCGGAAAACTGGTCCAGTGTGCCCAGGATCTGGTACCGCAAGCCGTATAATTCCGGCATGCCAAGGAAAGTTTGCTCTTAAAATTAAACAGTACTCGGACCGGGGCTTCGTGGACAATGAAGGAAACGATCGCCCCCTCTCATCTGGACACACCCCTTCTCCTCCCACTGGGAGCAGCGACCGGCGCGCAGCTGTCAGCTCGGGGTCCCTGCCGGCGCGCGCCTCGGCCGCCCCCGAGTCGGCAGACCGGCCGGGGGAAGCCTGGCGGACAGAGGACTCCGCCGAGCCCCACGGAGCCAGGTGGGGCCAAGCCCGGCCCGAGGGTGGGGCGGGCCCGGGGCCGCCTCCACCTCCAGGCCCGCCCTGCGCCACACCCGACCCCGCCTGCTTTCGGCTAACGGGCCGCGGCGCCCGGCTCCACCCGCGAGCCCTCACCTCGCCCGGACGGCGGCCTCCGGGAGTCGGCGCCCGCGGGTCGCGCCGCCTCGCCGCAGTGCCACCCGCCGCCGCCTCCGCAACCTCAGCCCACCGGGCGGACCCGGCCCAGGTCACTGGCGGCCCAGGCGCAGGTAGGCGGAGGTGCGCATGCGCAGGCCCTGAGTCTCCATTCGCTGCTGCTAAGCGACACCCGCACCCGAGCCGACCAATCCCGGAGCGCTCTCCCCGCCCGCTCCCGCGGAGTCCCGAACCGGAGGGTTCTTAAAGGGCTGCGACCCCGGCGCGCGCGCCTCTCGACCTGCGTCCCTTCTCCTGGCTCTCACCCGTGTGGGCTTCATGTCCAGGCCTGTAATTCCCACGTCCGGAGGTGCCAGGAGACTTCTCCGTCTCAGTTCGGTTCCTGCCGGGGTAGAGTACACGACTGACGCGCCGAGGCAGGGAGGTTCCGCGTTACTGCGCGACACGCCCCGGCTGTGGGTTCCGCTGTCTGCGCGGCGGGGCGGGAAGCCCGAGATAGGCAAAACCAAAGAGCACGGCCTCCTGCCACCTCGGATGAGGTGCTGAAGTCCGACCCTGGAGGGACACACCCCAGTCTGGGGGTGCAGGCGCTCACAGATACCACAGATGCAGGGCCCGCTGCCTGCCGGGAAGCGGAATTCGTCCATTTAGTTTTCCTCCAACAAATTTTGAGCACCTGCTATGTGTCAGACACTATGCCAGGCACTGGGGACACAGAAGGAACTCCTGACACTAAAAACTATGTTAAGAGAGGGCAGAGGGCAGCCCGGGTGGCTCAGCGGTTTAGCGCCGCCTTCAGCCCAGGGCCTGATCCTGGGGCCCCGGGATCGAGTCCCGCGTCGGGCTCCCTGCGTGGAGCCTGCTTCTCCCTCTGCCTGTGTCTCTGCCTCTCTCTCTCTCTCTCTCTCTCTCTCTCTCTGTCTCATGAATAAATAAATGAAATCTTAAAAAAAAAAAGAGAGAGAGGGCAGAGTGAGAGCACCAATCGAACAATTCAACAGTTACACGTGTGTTTAAATACAAACTGAGACGTGTGCTCTTCAGAGAGGATCAAGGTTTCCTTTTTAAGATTATTTTATTTTATTTATTCATGAGAGACACACAGAGAGAGGCAGAGACATAGGCAGAGGGAGAAGCAGGCTTCCTCTGGGGAGCCTGATGGGGGACTCCATCCCAGGATCCTGGGATCACGACCTGAGCCAAAGGCAGACGCTTAACTACTGAGCCGCTCAGGCATCCCAGGAACAAGGCTTTTTATTTTTTATTTTTTTTATTTTTTATTTTTTTTTGGAACAAGGCTTTTTAGAGAAATTACGGGAGCTTCCGGTCTGAACTTGGGAGTCGGAGGAGGCTTCTTTGAGAATGTGACACCAGCTGACTAGTAGCTAACGAGGCAAAAGGGGATAGAAGACTGGTTCAGACAGAGGGTAGAGTATGTATAAAGAACAGGAAGGCAGCAAGGCTTCTTTGAGGGATGAAAAGAAACGGGGTAGTACATGAGAAGCTAGTGTTTAACAGGCACAGAATTTCAACTGGGAAGGGGGAAAAAGTTCTGAAAATGAATAATGGTGATGGCTGCACAACAATGTATAATTTTAAACGTCACAGAATTGTACATTTTAAAATGGTTAAAACGGGGCAGGGGTGGAGGAGCAGGTGGCTGGGTGGCTCAGTTGATTAAACGTCTGCCTTCAGCTCAGATCGTAATCCCCGGGTCTTAGGATGGAGCCCTGGGTTGGGCTCCCTTCCCAGGGGAGTCTGCTTTCCCTCACCCCTCCTTCCCATTCGTGCTCTCTCTTGCTCACTCTCTCAGATAAATAAATAAAATCTTTTTAAAAATAAAAATAATATCTTTAATAAATAAATAAATTGTTAAAATGGTAAATTTTATGTATATTTTACCACAAAGAAGAAAAAGACAAGGAAGAAAAAAAAACTCAGAGTTTAGAGAGTAAGGAATATGGTGAGAGCCACTAGAGAGAATAGAAGAGCTAAGACCACGTAGGATCTTGTAGGCCATGGTAGAAAGTTTAGGACAGTGGAAAACTGATCAAATTTGCATTTTGTAAATCACTTTGGCTGCTGAAGTTAAGATCAAAATGAAGAAGGCTCATGGAAGCTCTGATAGGGGAGCTGGGAAGCCAATGCAGCCATCTGGGCATGAGAGGATGAAGTTGGAGCTTGGACTTAGACCCGAGCGATGGTGAAGAGGGTGAGAACTCGGCAGTCTGCAGAGACATAGAGGAGAAAAATCAACAAGACTTGGTGATGATCTGGATGTGAAACGGTAACAAAGTAGCTTCAAGGACAATGCCACTGTTCAGCGTTGAGTGACTGGGTAGAAAGTGGAGGGATTCATGGATATAAAGAACACTGGAAAAGGATCTGATTTTGGAGAGACAAATGATCACTAGTTCCATCTCAGACAAACTGAATTTGAGGCACCCTTTGACACTTCTGGTTGGGATGTCATAGTACACAGTCGAATATACAGGTTGGCATTCCATGTACAGGTCTGGGCTAGACATAGACTTTTGAAAATCATCACCAAATGGGCAGAAATTGAAGCAGACCTTACATAGAGAAAAATTACAAAATGAAAACAGAAGAGAGCTATGACAGAGTTGACCTCCAGGGATCGCCACTGAGTCAGGGTTGACCTGTGTGACAAATGATCATGAGGCTAGATCATAAGAGGCACAAAGGATAAAAACAATGAGATTTGATTGGTAAAGGAGATTGAAACCCCTTCATTGTATGTGCCAGGAAAGAGGCTAGGATTCCCTCTCTAAGTGCATTCACACGTGAATGGAGATAAGGTCTTCTCACCACAGTCATGAAAACAAGGCTCTGGCTTGGAATGAGGAAGGAAAAATTGGCACCAGACCTACAGCTTTTGAATATGGAGCCCCGGGTTCTCAGAATCTACAGTTTGAGTGCTTTATAATAGGGCTTTGTGCCTTCTGATTGGTGCAGCTCATGTGACTGGGGCACCAGAGTGGACTGGGCTAAAAGGTAAGATGTAGAATCTGAAGTCCTAGCCCTCCTCTCCATCACTGGTCATTTTGACTTTCCCAGGCTTCTTCATCCCTCCACTTCAGGATCACACCCTGAACTGCTTATCACCACAGAAGAGTTTATCACCACAGAAGAGCTCCACGTTTGAAGTTGTAAATGCAGACACCTGATCTCTGTCCCTTGACTGTTCTCAGAAATCTGCCCACTGTTCTCTGGCATGCAGAAGCCTCCACTCCACTTCTCCTTCTTACTTTGTTCAATGTATCACCTCTCCCCAATCTTTATTTCCTTCCCCATCAGCTGAAAGTCCAAGGTTTATCACTTCCATCACCTTTTTCCCAATATGCTTACCTCCATTCTGCAATTATTCTTCTGTCACACCTGCCTGGCAGGTCTCCAACTCTGGGGGAAAAAAAATCCAACCTTCTGGGTTTCTCTAACTCTGTTCCTGAGCTATAAGTACTGCTGGAAAAAAAAATCTTACAACCTCCTTTGTATTTTCTTTTCCTTGGCCAGGAGAGAAGCCAACTCACTCTCCTTGAGTAGTCTTATCCCCTGCATGGTTCCAGTCAGTTTCCACAAGTGATGCTTCTCAAAGTGATGCTTTTATCACCAACCCGGCCCTTGACCCTGAGTTCCAGACCCAAATAGCCAGCCTTGCCTCTCCATTTGACCACCTTGCATATACATGGTCAAGGCTAACTTTCTCACTCTCACTTCCCGTCCAGCTTCTCCTTCACTGTTCCTTGTCTGAATAAATGGCATTACCAGTCTCTCAGTTGCTTAAGCCAGGACACCAGAAGTCATCCCTAATTATTCCTCTCTCCCTCCCCCATTAATTCACTAAGGGCCTGTGGAGTCTATTCCTCATGTCTTTCAAATGCACAGATTTCTTTTTTCACTGCTCCCACCATTTCTGGCCTACACATCTGCTGCAAATAGCCCTCTCCGTATTTGTTTGTTTCTCCTTACTTCTTCTTGTCTGGCTGCCCTACCTTTCACCATACTACAGCCAGGAAAACTCTAAAATGCATCTCTGACTTCATTTTCCTTTTGCCTAAAACCATCTATGGCTCTGATTATTCTAAGGAGAGAGCCTGGGCTCTGGATACTTGTCACCTGGGTAACCTCCACTTCCTCTTCATACTGAAATGTCTATTCTCCTGGAGGGCGTTCCCTGCATGCTGGACCAGGTTCGTCCCCTACACTTGCCCCAACTTAACTCCGTCTCTGGGGACACCTGTGTGGCTCGATGGTTGAGTGTCTGCCTTCGGCTCGGGGCGTGATTGTGGAGTCCCAGGATCAAGTCCCACATTGGCTCCCCAAAGGGAGCCTGCTTCTCCCTCTGCCTATGTCTCTGCCTCTCTCTGTGTCTCTCATGAATAAATAAATAAATAAATAAAATAAGTAAATAAATAAATAAATAAATAAAAATCTTTAACATCATCTCTGTTATGGTCCTTCCTCATTTGTGTAACAATAGCGCTGCATAGGACTAAGCAGGGCCTAAATTCTCCTCCTAAAGATCCTTCTCTGCCCCACTCTGCTTTCTGCAGAACCTCTGGGGACTTTTCCTGGGGAGGGAGACTGGTTTGCGAAAACGGGCTTTGGAATCAGGAAGCCCTAAAGTCTTGGCCCAGTTTAGGTATGTTGCCCCATGTTTCTCACTGGTATGAAAGCTGTGAAATGGGATGAAAGCTGCCTCCTCTCAGGGTTGAATAAGGGGACTGTGGAGGGAGAGCCCAGCAAAAGTAGATGAGAGTGCTCTGGGTCAGGGTCACCACTCAGGGAAATGAAGCTCTGGGGAAGAATTGCCCCAGATCTTTTTTGAGGAAATTTTTCCAAGGTCTTCCAAATGATGTGGCTGCCGCTCATTCTGTGCTGCAAGGAAAACCAACCTTGTTCCCAGGTCCTTAAGGGATGGGCTGAACCAGAGAGGACAACCACTTCAGTTTCAGTGGTTTCCGGTAGTAACTATATGGCCTAGGTGGGTGGGCCCAGCTTCCTTCTTTTCTCTTGCAGCAAACCACCTCTGCAGTATGTTGCGTGGGCAGTATGGAGTAATAGCTAAGACTGAAGATTCTAGGGGCACCTGGGTGGTTCAGTGGCTGAGCCTCTGCCTTTGGCTCAGGTCATGAACCTGGGGTGCAGGATCGAGTCTTGCATTGGGTTCCTTGCAGGGAGCCTGCTTCTCCCTGTGCCTGTGTCTCTGCCTCTGTGAGTCTCTCATGAATAAATAAATAAAAGATTAAAGAAAAAAAAAAAGAACGAGGGTTCTAAAAAAGCCATACTCCTTGTGTACAGATACCAGCTTTGCCCTTAATTGCCGTTAGATCTTAGGCAGGTTACTTCACCTGTTTTCTCGTCTGTAAAATGGAGAAAATGATAGTGCTTTCTAGGGTTGTAAGCCTAATAAGCATTATTACTACCCAGAGGAAAAATAGGTATGTATGCGAGTTTCTCCCTCTGCAAAGAGTAAAGCTAACACCAGTGTTTCCTAGGCCCTGCAGGGTTTGGCTTGGCAGGAGGCAAAGGCTAGGGTTCATGCTCCAGACGCAGATCTGTTGGAACCGCGGTGATGTCGACAGAGGGAGGCGTGGACTCGGAGACCGAAGGCTGGTTGCGGCCTCGATTCCCCCGTGACCCGGGCAGGCGCACCGCACGCACGGCCCCGCCCCCAGGCTAGCCCCGGGGACTGCGCGCACGCCCGGGAGGGGCAGGCCGCTCCGCGCCCCAGGGGCGGGGCGCAGGCTGACGCTCCGAGCATCGCCCTTGCGCGCCCAATCACGAATGACGTTGCGCCCTGGCCCAGTCCACGGGAGGACCCAATCAACGTCGAGAGCGTGGGTCGGTCCGGCTGTGGCCCTGGTGGGGCCGGGGCTGCGGGTTGGCTCCAGGCGTGGGGGTGCGCGCGGCCTGAGGCCCGGCTCCCACCCGGCTTTCCGGGATGTCGGTGGCCTTCGTACCCGACTGGCTGAAAGGCAAGGCGGAAGTCAATCAGGAGACGATCCAGCGGGTGAGCGCTAAGCGCGGGCAGAGAGACGTCCCTTAGTTGAGATCCCGAGGGAAGCTTCCTGGAGGGAGCAGCATCTCAGCTCTGGCTTGTGGCGTGCGTAGGGGGTCGACTTGCAGGGGTGTGGAGTGAGATGGGAACGGAGTCGGCCAAGGCACTGGGGCGGGACCGCTCGGCATTGGAGACAGCGGGCGTCGGGGTGGGAGGGGTGCGGGGAGTGTTCCCGGCTGACCCCCTTCTCTGGCCTTTCAGCTCTTGGAGGAGAATGACCAACTCATCCGCTGTATCGTGGAGTATCAGAACAAAGGCCGGGCGAATGAGTGTGTCCAGTAAGTACCCTCCCCACCTCTGACTTTTGAGTGTAGGCTGAAACCGTGATACAGCAACTGCCCTGAACTGGGAGTCTTGGGTGATGGATTGCCCATGACGCTCTCAGGGAAGTTGCTTACCTGCCCAAGGCCACACAGCACATTGTGAAGTCTTCAAAACTTGAGTTATGCTCATTGCAAATCTCAGGTAGACATGTCAGCTGATGGCAACAGAGATGGGAAGGGAGGGAGCACATGGAAAACTAGTCTCAAGAGATGTGCGCTGTGGCCCCTTTCTCCTCATAGATCTCCAGCTTATCTCCAGCTTTTCGGGCGGGGGGGTGGGTGGGTGTCAGATCATTTGACTGCTGAGTTCCCTTTCATTTATTTATTTATTTTAAGTAGACTTCACGACTGGCATAGAGCCCAGGGAGTGTCTTGAACTCACCACCCTGAGATTAAGACCTGAGCTAAGATGAAGAGTCAGAGGCTTCACCAACTAAGCGCCCCATCCCCTTCATTTTCTAACTTGGAGTCAGCCTATAATGCACACAAAGACCAATAAAAGACTTCCAAGTTAACTAAGCCAAAGGCAAATTCTGCACAGTAATTGAATGTGGTCTCTAGCTATATACCAAAATGAGAGACAATAGTCTCTTTTCTTTTTTTTTTTTTAAATAGTCTCTTTTCTAAATGTAGTCCAGGATTATGCTCCATTTATTATAGAAAAATACATTTTTCATTCCTACTGAAGACCTCTTTAAGAAAACCATACTTTCCCCATCCCCTAAAAAAAAAAAAAAAAAGTCACCTATAGTCCCTTACTGAACAACTCAATGAAATAGTTGAGATATCCATCTTTGGGTGAGTCTTTACATTTGGTTCTGGCATCTGGTAATTTGCTTTTTTGCAGTTTATAGTAAACTCTCATTTTTCTATACAGAAAATAGTTGCAAAAACATTCTCAACCTATGGGTAAGAAAGTTATCAAGATTTCACATTTATAGGCCATGCTTCCTGGCTCCCTTAGTCTGATTTGTCTTCCTGGATAGAGAATTATATTCCTTGATTGATAATCACTACAATAGTAAGCTCATATTAATACCATAAAAGTGCCTTGTCCCTTCATTAAGTTTGTTCCACAAATATTTCATAAGTACTACTGACTACCAGAAACTGTTGCAGCTATTGGGGAATAGGTACCAAAACCAGCTCTGCTTTTTACCAAATCAGGTACCAGCTCTGCCCTTATGGAGTTTACATTCTACACTCAAGAATCTAGAGAGAGGAAATCATACAATTAGGTACATACTAATAAGTGCTTTGAGTAAGAATAAAGCAGTGTTAGTGGCGGGAAGGGGTGTTGTTTTATATAGGGTATCTCTGATGGGACATCTGAGTAGAACCAGAGGTGAGGGAGCCAGCCATATGGATATATATATATATATATATATATATATATATATATATATGGCAGAGACAGAATCAGGTGGAAGAGCCCCATAGAGTGGAGCACACTGTTGTCTTCAAATCAGAGCAAAGAGGATACAGCAGCCAGAACTCAGTGAGCGAAGGGAAAATGGTAGGAGCTGAGGTCAGAAAGATAATTAGAGGCCCCAGTCATGTAGAGCCTTGTAGGCCATCAGAAAAGCTGGAAGGGCTAAGCTTTAGTCAGAATGAGATGGGACCATTTGAAGGGTTTTAGTCAGAGGTGTGGCAAGTCTTGACTTAACCTGTACAGTAATCACTTATGTTGCCATGTGGGGAATAGACTCGTCCAATACAATAGTTTAAGCAAGGATAGTGGCTTGGCCCAGAGAGCTGTGAAAGTGATAAGTGAGAATAGGTAAGATTCTGGATATATTTGCATTGGTTAAACAAGGAGGTTGATCATGCTGAATCATCCAATCAATGGATGTGCCATTCCAGTATAGTGGGTAAATTCCTTTCCAGTGTTTTGTTCATGTTCAGCAAGACAAAGCCTCTAATTTTTGCCTCTTTTTCACCTATAGGTACCAACATGTGTTACATAGAAATCTCATTTATTTGGCTACCATCGCAGATGCCAACCCAACCAGTGCTTCAAAAGCAATGGAATAATCTTTCAGTTGGCTGTCACGAGGAGTAACTGAGTGTAATCCATGTCCTATGAAGTAAAGACAGGCTCTTTACCAACTCAACTGCTTAAAATATGAATGAACCCTCTATGGCTCTTTTAAAAATGTGACAATGTGAAGAAAGCTACTAGATTAACTGTATTCTCAGTGTAAATATTTACTTTAATAATTAAGCAGATTTAGTGGACTCCAGATGTCCTCTTTTCTGATAGGCATGTTGGGATAACAAAGATATCATGGGCATCATCTTCAATTCTACCTTTTCAGTTTCAACCTGAAGAGGAAACTGAGCAGGTGATAGGCAATTAACAGGAATTGGGGAGACTCCTAACTGAGGCCCTGCCAAATGGGCATGTAACTGTGTGCTCCCTTCTACCAGTTTGTAGTCATGGACCTGATCATCCTTTTCAGGTTGCTTTGAAATAAAACTTGCCTTTCCATGCAACACTCATATTGAGGTATAGAGATTTTCATATAAGTGTTCCATTTGGTCTTCTAGAAAAACTAATAAGAACTTAAAAATATATGTAACAACACTACCATTGCTACCAAAATCAATGGTCATTCTTCATTATTATTTAATATAATCTAATAATAAACTTTTAAAATACTTTTTAAAACACCTTTTTCCTCCTATCTTTTGAAGGTTCTTGGCTGGGGCTCTATACCAAATGACAGATTAACAAAAGAAAAACATAAAAATTAAGTTTTATGTGACATGGGAGCCCTTCACAAGGAAATGAAGACCCAAAGATAGTTAAACCTGAGTATTTTTATATGAGATTTGGTAAAAAGTGGAAAGCTATGGAAAACTGAGAGGACAGAAGGATATGAGCTATGTGTAGTAAACTGGGGGAACTTAGCATGGCCTTTTCATTCAAATTCTCAGTGTCCTTCCATTTTAAGAGATAAGGATGTGCCTTTCTTCTGGGTATAGGGAGGGCACCTCTCACATGAGGGTCTCATCACCTGGTTCATGGGAGGTCAGAGAGTCCTTCCAATATCTGCCATTTTTCAGATTCTTCAGCTCAAAATATTCAATAAGCCAGGGTGCCACGTTTTGGAGTATTATGTCCTGAGCCCCATCAGTTATCATGGAATGTCTTTTTTGTTGATTTAACTCAGGATCCAAATGAGATTCATACACTGCATTGTGCTGATGTCCGTTAAGTCTCTGTAAAAATAATTAGCAGTTCCCCTTCTTGTCTTCTTTGCTATTGGTGCAAAAACTAGGTCATTTGCCCTAAAAATTTCTCATATTCTGGATTTGCCTAGTTGTATCCCTATGGTGTCATTAAATATGTCCCACTATTGCCCACTTTTCCTATAAACTGGTAGATCTAAAGGCTCATTCAGACTAAGATTCTAATATTTTTGGCAAGTATACATCATAGGAGGTAAGAGGTACTTGCTTTTGCATCACATCAAGAATGAGTTGATTTATTAATCAGGTGCTCAATAGCCTTTCACTTAAATTATGATCTACCAAGTTTTGATCTATTACTTCATCAGGGATTTATACTAATGGTTTCCTATCTTATCATCCCTCTGCCTTTATTATCTTTATTCAATAAAGAACTTTCCCTCTTTGAGACTTATCTGTAAAATGAGGCAGGGAGATTTTCTTAAATAAACACAAAATTAGAACCTCTGGTGCCTGGCTTATTTAGTAGGAATCAAGGGTTGCAACCCAGAGAGACTAATGTGTCAATAGTGAAGAGAGATCTCATTTTGAATCATAGCTCAATTGCAACCTCTGAGAGCTCTTATTTCCTCACCTATATAATGAGGGTAATGAATGTAGTATTTGCCTCCTAAGGTTGTTAGATTGAGATACTGTGGTTGAGAGCTGGGCATGTAGTAAACACAATGTATTAATGTGTGCTCTGATGTGTTCTCTGAGGGCTCTGGCCCTTTCTGGCCCTTCTCAAGTCTGGGAAGAAGCCTGTTCTTTGCTCCCTCACCTATTCTTCCATCCTTAGGGTTGTAACCCATTAACAGACTCTTCCTTCTGCCTCTGTTCATGGGGTTGGTGCCCATACTCTATGCCAAGTGGGCTCTTGGGCCTGACCTGGTGAGCAGATATGGTGGGCACTATGCAATGTTTTTAGTTTTGAATTAGTTACTAATATTTAGAGAGGATTTTCCATTAAAGCCTGGATTTCTAGCCATGCTGGCCCTGTATGTCCACATGGCAACCATCAGCTGGAGTTGGATGGCAGCTGTCTCTCTTTACTAGGCAGCTTGGCTTGTCTACATATGGCTTGGCTCTAGCTGGAATGAGAGCACCAGCTGATGTTTCAATTTGGATCTCGCCTAAAACAGCCTGAGACAAGGCCTTGGGCACAGATAGTTTATTTGGGAGATGATCTCAGGAAGCAGGAATAAGGCTGTGAGAAGAGTGAGACAGAGAATGAGGAAAAGCCACTAAATGGGTGTGTTGCCAAGGTCATTGCTGTAGGCAATAAGAGCTCAATTGGTGGTTGGGGGAAGATCTCAAAAGCATACAAATGTCCCAGAAGTGTCCACCTGAGTTGGAGTTGCTTACAGGGGACTGGACTAATAAGCAGCCTTTGCAGCCAAGTTGGCCCTAGATGTCAGAGGAAGAAGAAAGTAAAAAGTGGCATGGCAGCGCCTGAGGTGGGCTTCTGCCAGCACAAGGCTGAGTCTGATCTCGCAGGAACTGTTGAGTACCAGCAAGGTAGGCGAGGGTCTGTGATGAAGCATCAGAGGTTCCAGTGTGTGGGCTCTGAGTAAGCCAGCGTGGCCTAGAGCAGTTAAGCGTAGCTTCCTGTGTAGCAGGGAAAATAGCCTTGAAGACAAAATCCAGTTCTCTCTCAGATGGAAGGAGCTTATGACCTGCTGTGTTCCCCTCCCTTTGTCTCTTGGAAGGTATTTCAATCCGCACGCAGAGGACTGAATCAGGGCAAATCACAGCCTCTGGAAACAGCTGAGGCTACTTAAGCTACAGTTTACCCTATCTCCAGAGGGCCCCCTTCTGGGGAGATACACTGGAGAAGCTGGGACAGGCCAGTTAGTTGTCATTGTATGTGCTCACACCCACCCACCTCTACCTGTCTGCTTCAGAGACAGCCTGAAGCACAAGTATCTGCCATCCCTCTTAATGGGCCCAGAAATCAATATAGTTGTGAAACGTGATTTAAAAAGGTGAAGACCAAACCTGACCAATGTATTCACCGTTCTCTCTCTTCAGAGGACCTCCTGCTTCAAGATTAAGTCTCTACTCAGCCTGTCTACACTTTTCCAGCTCTCAGGGTCAAGCTGATCTCCCAACAGCCTACAGAGGGCCTGAGCCTTTCTCTGGGGTTCCCAAGCCTGCCTCCCAGGATTTGCAACTGTGGTGACTTCTGTCATTATCACATTCTCCTGGGATGAGGATACGGCAGCTAAAACAAAGAAAGCAGATAATTTGAGGTTAGGTTTCTTTCCTTTTTTGTTTTTTTTTAAGATTATTTATTTTTTCATGAGAGACACAGCGAGAGAGGCAGAGACATAGGCAGAGGGAGAAGCAGGATCCCTGCATGGAACTCAATATGGGACTCTTTTTTTTTAAATTTTTATTTATTTATGATAGTCACACACACAGAGAGAGAGAGAGAGAGAGGGGCAGAGACACAGGCAGAGGGAGAAGCAGGCTCCATGCACCGGAAGCCCGACGTGGGATTTGATCCCGGATCTCCAGGATCCCGCCCTGGGCCAAAGGCAGGCGCTAAACCGCTGCACCACCCAGGGATCCCTGATATGGGACTCTTATCCCAGAACCCTGGGATCATGACCTGAGCCAAAGGCAGACGCTTAACCACCGAACCACCCAGGTTTCCCTTGAGGTCAGGTTTATTCCACAAATTGTGAAGCTATATTTCCACTGCCTCATGAGGCTTTTTGACATCCCAGTCTGACTTTTGGGGACCCCAAGTAACAATATGGCTAGGGAGGAAAGGATGTTCAATGCTATGTCCTATGCTCTTAAACCTCTGTAATCAACTTCCATTCCTAAAGGTGATGATTCCTAGAATCATCTAGTCTATTTCTTAAGCTGGGTACATAGTATCTTCATTTTGTTGGTACTCTACCTCACACATAATATGGTTTTGATTCCATTTTTTAATAAAGGCAAATTTAAGAAGTTAATTAATCTATTACCTCTTTTCCCAATGAAAACCCTACAGATATTCCTCTGGAATCTAGGTGTTCTGTTCAGTCACTGGGACCGTTCTTTCCTTCCTAAACTTTTTATTAAGAGTCTAGGGTCCAAAGGGAGGTTTTTTCACTTCTGCTTGTGATAAACTCATTCATTCAAAAAATATTTTCTGAATCACTGGTACGAGCTGAAGGTCCTGCAGTGAGGAAGCCAGACAATGTCATTGCTCTCATGGAAACCTCATTCTCATGTAAAGAAGACAACACAGTATAAATAACCTGTATTTATGGGGGAGACAGGCAATAAAATATAAACAATCAAGGAAAGCTTCACATGGCAATAAGTGCTGTGCAGAGAATTACATCAGGGTCATGTGCTGGAGGGTGTCTGGGTGGCTACTTTAAATTATGGAATCAGGAATGACCCTAGAAAGTAACACTGCAGCTGAGATATGAATAACAAAACCTGACACGTGATCATCAAGGGACCAAGCAGTACAGACAGAAGCAAGAGCTATGCAAAGACCTTTCATTCCAATTGGTTATTTTTTCCTCTCTTTCTCTTGAGTCCATTTATAGAGCAGTGTTCACCTATGTGGTCATCAACTCAATTATAACATGAGTTCTCCAGGCCTTATGCTGGGCTCATGAAGAAAACTCAATTATAACAGAAGTTGACTAGGCCTTATGCTGGGCTCGTGAAGAAAATAGAGAAGAAGGAGCACAGGGCCCTGCTTTCAGGGAGCTCCCAATAAGCCAGATATTGAAGCTGCAGGAATTCCAAGTGAAATTACCAATTGCTTCTTATATAGCATAGAAAAAGTCTAGGCTTTTCAATTCCTGAACACTCTTTTGTCTGCAAACAAAAAGTTGCCAGTGACAGCAGCTTTCAGCATCCCACACTCATTCCTCGAACTTTAATTGTACTGCAGCTGAGTCCCAACAGTCCGTATCTGTATCTCTGTCCTGAAGACTTTTTTCTAAAACTGGAAGTCTGCCTTGCCCAGGCATAGCAGACCAGAAGAACCTGGGGATTACCATGCTGGGAACAGCCCTCAACTGACTCTCGGTAGAGGAGTATTATGATTATTATGAGTATACTCATAAGTATACTTATGAGTATTAGATGAGCTGGGAGTATTAACGTCCCAGCTCCCTCACCCCTAGGGAGGGACAATTCCAAGATGTTTCTTCTGTACTGGTTGCCAGAGCTCCCCATCAGGGTTAAGCTCTAATCACCACTATGGTAGATGGCTTAATAGCACACACCTTATTGGCTATCTTCCCAGTTCACTTCTTCACTCTCTAGATGGAATTTCCTAGGGCCACTTTTCAAATAAGCAGGTTGCATTCAAACCATTGTCTGAGAATCCTCTTCTAAGGGAAACAACCAAGATACTGGTTGTTTAATGCTTTACCTTTGGTGGATAGACCCAGATGGATTGGCTGAGCAAATATAGC